GATAACGGAAAATTTCCTCCTACTTATTGATAGATTACAAATGGTCCTATTTATATGTTGTTACGTTCGTTCAACGTCGCGATGGGGTCCAAGTTCAGTTCGTCGGCTCGCGACCTGCGAGATGTCGTCGGGAGGAAGCAACAAAATGTTTTCTTTTCTTTTTTCTTATCGTTCTTGGCACCAGTTACACCAAGTGCGTTCGTTATATGTATCAATCGGGTTTATCGCGAAATAGAGAAGAAATAAGCTCAAGGTATGGGAGCACGTCATAATCTAAAAAAAAAATTTACTTCTCTACTTTGAATAATAAGACTTGTAATGAAATTCAAGAAAGAATGCTGTAAACTAAGCGCGTGCAACATTTCTTACATAATTTTTAACATTTTATCTTATTTTGCAGAGGCGAGATTTTTCTATTCGCGCTTCTGATTTTTCTTTGTTCCGCAGACATAAGAAGAAGCTATTTAATATGCTTGCACGGTCGAGTCAGTGAAGTAACCGTGATCGTCATCACGGTAATTCTTTTGATTGGACGAGAACTTAGAAGAATCTCTTTTTACAAAACCGGTCGTTTATTAATAAAAATCGAGACCTACTATTTGCACTCAATAGATTTTCTCGCGACAGCTAATAATATCTTTTTATAACAGAAAAAAATTGTGTCAGGTCATTGTGGAGCAGAGCGTATATTCTGAGAAACAACGCGTATAGTTCATTTTTAGACAATTTGTTGTTTGGCCGGAATTTCAAGATATTTAATTAGCTGACCGCATTTTTCTAGACAAAAAATATAAAAGTGCTGATTAAGAGAGAGATGACAACGCTTTCACAATCGAGCGGCCGAATAAACAGGAAACTAACGGAAAGAGTTAAATAACGCCAATAATAAGTTAAATTAACGAAATGAGTTATATAATAACGTGATGATTCAAAACATATACGCGCGCGCGCATACATACACACACACACACACACACACGACTCTCGACACGTGTCGACGAAACATATAGAAAACATATCAGCTTTTAAATAAAACACGCGTGTGGCGCAATATTATCACATCTTATTCAATCTGTTTTTGTTTTTTTAGAAAAGTGTCAACCTTATTAAGATATTAATATTATTAATAAGATATAAAAATATTATATTCATAAAAAAAGATGAAATATATTTATATTTTACTCTTGTATATTAAATGTATGTATATAAAGTATATGTAATAAAGTATTTTGTAAGTATGTAATCAAGTATTTTTTTGATTCAGCTATCTCCTAACGTTTGTACTTAATTATTATATTTTAGTTGTCCGTTACGCACACTGTACTTACGTTTTTCGATATTTTCCACGAATGCGAAAGACGTCAGGTCGAGTCTTCAATTACGCAGATTTCTGACATCTGTCTCAACAGGGATTTGCCAAAACTAAACTAAATGAAATATATTAAAACTGAAATATGACTCGAAAGGATCTGCGGTCGTGGTAAAGCCAGAAAATATGGCGCGCACTTTTTATTGTCTGCCGCAGGAAATTATTGACGTAATTTCCTGCGGTTATTGTGCAAAAGATCATAAATCAGTTTTTGCCCGTCATTCATTCATATGTACGACACGCAAAGCGGACCTAAAACGTATTACATTAACTCTTTACTCACATCATATCTTTTCTCAGATAAGCGTTAAAAAGTATCAAATCTATCTGTCGTTTTGCTTGTTAAAACGCGATATTTTATTTCTCAGTTCATCAGTCAGTACATATCAGCTTTCTGCCAAATTTTGTAAACATACAGTCTGTAATTTTTTTATCAATCTGTTTTTCGTTTTCCAAGAATTATTCTTAAAAAAAATCGTCGCAATTACGTAAGTTTGCGACACTTAAAATTAGCCATTGGACATTTCTTTTATAACAATTGGTCACCTTTTTCATTAATTACTTTTCCCATCTTTTATTTACAAGCGCAAAATCGTTTTTGAAAGCGCTTGCCACTATTTGCGACTTTTTATCACTTAAGAGACACAATATTGTGGCATAACAACCCTTTGCACGTGAATTACACGCATTGGAGAGGCTGCAGTCATCCGTTGACTTGAAATATGAGCGATGATGTTCGTTACGAAAACGACAAAAATAGAACAAAAACACTACGATCTTCTCTTCTTTAAGAAGAGATTTTAACTTTATCTTATCCGTCTGGTAAATCAACGGATGACTGCAGCCTCTCCAATGCGTGTAATTCACGTGCAAAGGGTTGTTATGCCACAATATTGTGTTCGTAATAATTTGCTACGTGTTTTTTTGTTTTTTTCTTGTCGTAACGAGCCTTCTGTTTTCGGATTGACAGATTTGACATATAATTCTTACGGAGAGGTAACGGTGACCCATAACAGAACTTTCACAAGTCGATAACCTTTTTGAAACGCTCACAGAAGATCAACGAGCAGCGACGGCACGCTTTTCCGTCCGCGATGGCGGATGACGGCAACGAGAGATCGAATCTTTCTATATTTAGACTATCAATCGCGAACTGAACACCAGGAAACGTGTGAACATTATGAGAAACTATCAATGGAATCCCGAGAAAGCGGGAGTGACAAACTTTTTCGATGCGTTGTTGTTGAAAAGCTATTGTAATTGTAATCAAAAGAGATAAGACTAGCGACAAGAAGATTTTACGTGAATCTAAATTATTTAAAAAAAACAACAAGTTTTTTTCAAAATAAAATCTAGTTTTATTAACAAAAATCTAGATTTATATAAATTTTTGTAAAATTCTATATAAATATTTTTAACAAAAAATCTAGTAGCTGACAAAATAAATTTTTATTAACTTCAACGTTCGCTCTCGCGAGTTGAATCTTTTAACGAAATATGTCACATTATAAATGCCATTTGCGCAAACTTATTTCGAGATCTGATTACTTCAATTGCATTATTCTTTCAAAATTCACTTATCTATTATTAAATATCTATTATAATTATATTACATTAATTATACTCAATAATTCAAAAAGAGTTGATAAAATTTGAAAATAACTTTATTTTCTTGATAATTTTAACAATCTTTTTGTAATTTTATATATATATATATATAATTATTGCATTATATACATATATACACACATAATGCAATAGATCAATACAAAGAAGTGTCTTTCGAGATTTGTCAGCCGACTGCAGTGAGCCTCTATTTTCGTACAAAATCCACTAACGATCTGATATCGGAGAAAATCTATTTAACGCGGACAAATCTATTTGCACATATTTCTCGCTAATCTCCCTTTTGTTAATTAAATATATAATTCTGGATCTCTGAGTCAAATTTGTGCAAATTTACACCTGCCTGATTTTCTCGTCGTTGACGCAACACACACGTTGCGACATTTGCGAGAGCTAAATATAATTAGAGAATTTTTCTTACGATCCAATTTCATTATTCTTCCGATAAGACAAACAATAATGAGTGCATCGAACCGCAAGCACACATCGCGATGAAAACGCGGCGCCGGCGGCTCCGCGTCAGCTGTATCTGCAGCATGTGAAAACACGTTGCGCGGAACGTATAACGTGTCAACATGCGCACAACATAAAACGATATGTAAAAGAAATGCTGAAGTTTTGTCTGGGGTAAACGTGTTATGTTGTGCGCGGAGACACGACACATCAGCGGTTAATCTGTAACTCGAGTCTGCTGTCGCGCGCGCGTAATTAGAGACGCGAGAAAAGATGTGTTGCTTGTTTGTTTGTCGACAAACAAGGTCGATCTCACGATTCTTCCGAGCGAGAGCACGCATATCCGCCGGAAAAGGAAAGAAAAGCAATCAAGGCTCTCATACTTTTCCACGACGATGGACCTCCACGAAGCGATCAGTAATTGTTATCAATTGACTCTTTCAGTCTTGTCTGTAAACAACACACCCTCTTTTTTCATTATTTTGATGAAAATCAACGAAGCAAGAAAAATCAAGTATACCATCGCGTATTATTTTACAATTATTTATAAAAGTCCGATCGATCGGATATTGTGTAAATGTCCGAAAAAGATCAGCTGAACTATAAAATAGAAACAGAATAGAATAGAATGTGATAATACTGATAATGAATGACGATGTTGTTTAGCTAATCGCGACGAACCGTTATTATTCTTTTTAAACGATTGCTTGCTCCGTGATCATGGTGTTTATGCGTGATATTATGATTATCACGAAACCATATAAACAAAGTATAGATATCTCTCGTTCTCAAAGCTATACGAGACCATATTTTTGTGCGTTTCTCTAAACACTGTAACAACAACAACCGACGCGCGTCTAAGCTAAGTTTTTCGCTTATTAATTAAAAAAGTCATGTGTTACTCAAATTGTCTCACAAGTACGTGTTGTTTTTTTTCTTCACAATTTTATTCAAAAACTATTTGAAAAAGATAATACAAATTATCGCGCGAAAACGAGAATTAAACGGCGATAAAGACGCGAAAGTACTTTGTTATTTTGGTGCGCCCTTTGCGAAAGCGCCAATAAATTTTAGAAACGCGACGGGCGATACAAAGTAACTGATTTTACATCGTGAACACACATGATGATGAGAAAAAAAAGAAACATATAGAGAGATAATGTCTACAACGTTAAGAAACAATGTCTGCAAAAAAAACTCTCTTTCATATCAAGACGCAGATAATCTCGGCGCCTTTATACAATGACGCGTTTATGACACAAATTCACGATTATTTCCATTCGGCTAAACACATTATACAACTAACTTAGTGACCGAAGTATCCGATAGTTCAGGACAGTTAAGTTTTCAGCTTCGAGTTAATTAATAAATGTACTTGCTAAGATTGTTACAAATGTTTTCACTTGCTTTTTGCCTGTTCGCTGATTAACATTACCGAACTGTTGAATTAAAAACAAACAATTTAACAGCAAGAGATACGAAGAGGAAAGAAAGTGACGATTTCAGTCTGTATTATTTATAAATCTTTATTTACAAACAGACTGTGTTTTTTTTGCACCGAGGTGAATAATAGAGATAACACAAAAATATAAGAGGATAGTAAAAATGTGGACACAAAGATTCTCCGACGAGTATTTCTCTAACGCGCACGATAATCTCTTAAACACGTTAATTGCCGCGTCATTCACTTACGTAGGTTACGGGTAAGTTAGCGGAGTCCGTCACCTGCCAATATGGGTGGCGATTTCATTCACCTAATTAGCGGGATTTTACAAATAATTTGCAAGAGTATTTAACAAAGAGTAAAAAACAAAGATATTTGATAGTAACAATATACAAAACTTGTACACAAGTGCTTATTCACTCTGTACAGTTGTCTGCTATAAAAATTACTGGTTTCCGAATAAGAGGCAAAGTAACGAGAGAATTCAGAGGCTTCATTGTCGAGCATTTGTTAATAATAAACAGCTCCAACTTTATTGGAGAAATAAATGAAAAACAATTAAACCGTTGTCACCATACTCAATCATATGTTGAGCGATCAACGTGTTAAAAAATAAGATATTAGCCGTGTCTGATTGCGAGCGCAAGAGCTTTAGAATTTTCGTCCTGTATAGCCGCTCTGCAACGAGCCACCGCGTTAGACGCGGCTTTTCCGACTGCAAAAATAAATCCGATGTTAACAGAATTGAAATTATATATGATCTTTACTTCAATTTTGCACCCAATATCTACCTCTGAGTCTCGCTGCGCGCTGCACGCCAATGTTCAGTTCCTTCAGACAGGCCGCGAGTTCCCGATGACTGTTGACGCGAATCTCGTGTTCCCGGATCAGATCGCCGTTGATGGTCTTCAATTGCATCAGTCGTTTTCGCATGTCCTCGATGTTCCCGAGGATTCTGGCGTCCTCCAAGCGGATCACGACGTTCTTCAGGAGAGTCGCGCTGCCCGCCGCCTCAGCCTGGAGTCGCGCATCAACTTCCTTCAAACCTGAAGATCATCACAGTCAGTAAATATTCTGTATATGTGTGTGTTAACCATATTCTAACATTTCTCTGATTTCTTTATCAAAGAGACGTTTCTTCACTTGGAATTCGTATTACATTTTTTGTTTTGTCCACAACGTACCCTTCACACGTTCCAACGCTTCCAGCATTCTGTTCTCTTCCTCCGGAAATACAGCTTCCGAGGTCAGCTCTCTGACGCCCAGATACATAGCGAGCGACTGAATGATATCGCCGGCGAGCGTCGAATCGTCCGTCTGGATTGTGAGTTTTCCAGCGGCGTTTGATTTGAAGCAGTGCAACTTGTTGTCCCGCATCCCGCGAAGCCACACCTCGATGTTTCCGGCGTCTGGTCCGTTTTCCGCGACCTCTAATTCTTCCCCCAGAATCAGACTTTGGTTCAACCAAATCGCTATGCGCTGCGGCCTCTCCGCGACCTGCGGATCGCGCGCATTTATACTATATGTGTGATTCATTTCGGTTTATTGTTAATTAAACTCGAAGCGTGAACCTACATCCGCTACAACACCTTTGCTTGACAATTCCTCGGGAATTTGCTGCGGCTTAGGTACGAGCTCGTACATACAGAATCTCGGCAGCTGCCGCGTTATTTCGAACACCTGCATCGATAAATATAGACCTCACTCAGAAATTTACACATTCGCTTCGTTACATTACGACAACGGGCTACCCGTTCTGTACCTGCAACAAATCGGTGTTGGGAGGCCCCACGTAGACTTTCACGTGTATATCCACGGGATCGTTCTTGGCCGGATAAAGCGCGATCTCTAATTCTCCCTGCGGATGACTGGGATGCGTAACCAGGGTCTCGCCTTCAAAAACACCCTCGGCGAAAACTATGGCGCAGTACACCTGAAAATGTCATTTTATTTTGTATTTATGAGTCTTGCTCACAACTCTCTAGAATAGAATACTTCAAATTTTGGAATATACATTTGTACATAGAAATATCACACGTTACCAAAAATCCGGGTCCGGCAGCAAGTGCGACGCGAGCCGCGCCTCTCTTCGTTAACAAACTGATGGCCAATCTCGATCCGTAATACATGCTGGATCCTGTCGCGGCTCTTTGACGCAGTTCTATTTGAAGCGCCTGCTTCTTAGCTAGCAATTCGCGCATCATCTCTCCAGGCTCCGGAGCTTGCATCGCGGAACCGGAACTATATCCACGAACTGTGCGGAGTGTAACATTGAAAAAAGAAAGTGAAAGTAAGGAAAATAACAAATATAAGAATATTATGATAGTGTAGCAAAATTTTCTTATACCTTCGCCGTGGACGGAAACCACCACTAAGTCAGGCTTGCCTGTCCTCCGATAGTCAGCTTCTACTATTCCCGCTACGCCAGAAGACAACTGAATCTTGAACATGACCTCGCCGGTGTTTTGTATCCTTGCGTCCACCTTTCCGTTGCTCCAACCGGTAATCAGCTCCGACACACCGTCGCCGTTGATGTCGAAAATTTCTATAGACGCCACCTTGTGCTTCGACTGAAACGAGTCTCATAAAAAATCTGGTTACGTTGTTTCAACGTGCAAATCTATATATGGGAGAAATTTTACTTTAACTCGCCAGAGTCTCTGTCCCGCCTCGTAAACACCGATCGTTCCATTTTCGACGGCGTAAGCGAACTGTCTGTTGGACAGATCAATGAGAGCGACTATCGCCGCTGTTTCTTTGGTTTCCCATAGCATAGCGTCTTGTTTTTGCACTCTGATTTCAAAGTCCGTTGTGCCAACCAGTAACTGGATGATAAATTATTTGGCGTAAAATTAAATTTGACAAATATAATAATACGTGTGTTTACACAATATATCCACCTCATTTTCTCCGTCTCCGTCGAAATCGAGCACCGCCAGAGAAGTGACGATACCTCCCATCACCATCCAAAATATTTCTGCACCTTGCGGGTCCAAAATTGTTACCGAGCTGTTGCCACCCACTATCACCACCTGATTCGGTAGCCAACCAACTTTCGCAACGATCATACAGTTCGCACTATCCGACATCTAAAATTTATTAATTAATATAATTGTATAACAGGCTTTTTCCGGTTATCGAACTTCCGGCTCTGCGTTCGATACCTCTTTGTAAAAGACATCGGCGTTGTCCTCGACATGATAAGCGAGTACGTGAGAGATAGTACCGATCAGAAGTGTATCTCTCTCGTCTTCTCCAAGGCGACCAGTGCATAATGATTTAACCTTAATAAAGTTTTTTTTTTCTTTTTATTAGAGAAGTAAAACAAAAATGCAAGATAGTGCGTTTTTCTTCGAATGTGTGCGTGTGTGTGCAGAATAAATTGGCAACATTTTCATTCTACTACCTCCGTACCAATTTGAAGTTCCGCAAGTTCTCCGCTCCACAACAGCCGTTTGCTGGATTGTTTGTGATCGGAGAAATCGATCTGCGGCTGTCTGTGCGGACTGTGCACCAGAATTGTTCCACCCGGTGTGGCAGCCGCGAGACACGCGTGAGACCCGTCGAATTTCCCGCTCACAACAAGACCCGTCTTTATGTGCTTTTGAATATTCAAGGAAAACTCCGTCATTCTCGAGCGGGGTATTACAACAATGTACTTCGTCAATGTTTTGCTCCCGGCATTGGCAAGGTGATGGAATATTGATTTTCTACAGCTGTGTATACACAGATATAGTCATAGTTGTTACTGTCTCCCATTATTTTTATTTTACTGGATTTCGTATACAAATCACGTGTTTTTTTTTTTTTAATTCAATCATTTATTCTCACTTCAGACCGGAAATTTATATAATATTTATATAATTTATATAATTATTATTAATATTATTAATATTTTTATAATTTTTATAATATACACACTATTGCAAATTAAGAAATTACACTATAAAAGTTTTGGACAATTCTTCCACAGAATCCTTTGAGACATGATGCGCACCCAGGTACAATGAAATTATCTTCATAATTGTAGATCACTGTCTTTGTGCACTGCCTCCTGAAGCGGCTTCTGGATTCGTTGCGGATGAAATCAGCAAGAATATCAGCGCGGGAACGATGTATATCCACTGAAACAATAATAAACAAATCGCGCGTCAAATCGCAATTTTTCTATTTACACATAAATTACAGTCAAAAAATGCATACATATTTCGCAAGGAATGAACGATTATCTTTGGCCTCTCCTCTCTCTTTCGCCTCTCGTTCTCGTTCGAGCTTCTGAATGTACGTGGCTGTGTCTGGAATTGGGCCAGCTTCCGGAGATTTCACTATGACATTTGTGGTCCACATATTTGTGAAAGGATTGTCTGTTCTACAAGGACCCGATGAGAAGATGCTCACAGCTATTGGCACCGCTGAGGTATCCAGCCATATCGTCAGAACATCTTCCAGATCGGAACCCAACAGATAGCACTGCAAATTGACAAAGACGTGTGATCGGCATGTTCGAAGTACATACAACGTACTAACAAGTGTCAAATGTCATGTACCGCTGGCACCGACGACAAGAAGGTAACTTCGCTGCCGGACGAGGTACGTGCCACTGCTTTCAGTCTATATTTGCCGTCGTGTGCGGCGAGATTTCTCAGCGCGTTTATCTGCGCCGGCGACAGGCTGCTCTGTCCGACGACGGAGGCACCGCTACGCACGCTAGACACCGTGACGTTACCTCGTTCTGTGTATATTGGCACCGGGTCGTCGTTGACAGCGTGCCATAACCTCAACTGCAACCATCCGTCATAGTCGAGTTCACTCTGAAATTTTTGTATCTTATTTTGAACAACGTGTTTTTTTTGCGGGAAATTTCTAAATACATCATGAGAGATATATATCGGAATAAAACGGGATACTAACCCCATGAACGAGCGAGGATATGCCAAGTAGCACGTTAACGACGATAAACGATAAATACATCTTTGCGGCAATTCAATCGTATAACATATAGTTACGGATGTATTAATTAATAAAGCCACTGATATGGAAGGCCACGTCTCATTGTACGATGGTGGTTTCTAAGGTGATCTCTGCTGCTGCAATCATGACAAATCGCAGACATACAAAACGTTGCTAATTGGCAGAAAGCGACACCCAGTACAACTAGAAAGGTTATGTTGTTATATGTCGTGGTTTCGAAGAGAAGCTCGCTCCAGGCCGCTGGTTTCAGCGCCATATAATCCACAAAAGAGGATATAGGAACTATGGAGCGACAGAGTGACAGTGACGGCTGACGGCTTTTCCTTTTGAAAAATTCGTGACGGACAGAACACTACCATATGGTATAAATCGTCGAATTTTTGATCGCATCTATATAATACAGCATTAGCAATTATTCGCACTCAATGAAAAATTAATTTCTCACAGAGAAAAATTCTTTTCGATCGCAACGTGGACGCAAAACATGTATCTGTTTGCAATAACTAACGAGAAGTCGGGCCACATGAGTGCGGTTGAGGTCGATCTCTGTGGCAAATGTCTGTGATCGCAAAAGATGCAAACTCCGAGAAAAATCACGATCGTTCTGTTCGTGATTTCATAGCGCGATGGGTCGAATCAGTCAATCAACCAAATTTTTGGCAAAACGTGACTTAAATCTCTTCGCGTGCACGTTAAGGTTTTAATATTTACTTCCTGATCTCAAATGTGATCGTTGTGATTCGTGTTTACAAACAACTGACAATTGTTACGTTACAGAATACACTCACGAAACAGCACGCGCTATTAAAAGTATGACTCTGAGAAGAGCGCGAAAGAAGACGATATCTAAAGAATGTCATAAAGTACAAGAAGTGTTTTTTATTCTCTGTAGATTCAATGGGGTAGGAGAGAGAGAGAGAGAGAGGAGAGAGAGAGGAGAGGAGAGAGGAGAGTATCAGCAGGTGTACTGAAGCCAAATAAGTTTGGTACCACAAACACAAAGTATGTAGTATATTTCTGCACTTTTTATATCACACTGTATATAAGTCAATAAAATAAAATAATTGATTATCACAAATATTACTGATAAAAATATATTACTGATATATTACTGATTAAAGATGTAAATCATAAAGTTAGATTCATATAGAGCAGCTTTATAATTATTTCAGATCATTGGGCTAAAAAGCCTGAAGAAACTCTTCCGCTTTGGAAAAATGCAGAGAGCGATGCAGATTACAAGGGACTGGATATAAATTATTTTGTAAATGAGAACATATTCGAGTTAACCATGCATCCTTATTTATACATAGAAGATCATATAAAGCACATGGTTGTATAAATTGTAAGTATTTATACATGGAAGCTTTGAAATATATAATAATGTTTGTATTATTGTAATATTAATGCAAATTACGCCAATAAAATTGCATTTCTCACAGGAAATGTAAAACTGAAAGTATAATACTTTTTTTTTATACTACAAACTACTGTATATATATTAAATGTTGATATTATATTGTTTGTAATATTAATATAGATTGCGCTAAATAAAATTTGTATTTGTTACAAAAACTTACGAATTTTTGATGTAAAAATAAAAGTATACATTTTTTATTTGTACAATACAAACTGTATACATGTATCGTGTGTATAATTCGTATTGTGTATGCGTAATAATCGAATTTACTTCTTTTTGCAACATTTTTCTTTTTGATTTATATTTCAACAACTATTATTTTTAATCGTTTCTCAGTATTCAATTTTGCGTAAATAGGAAGAGAAGTGCCTCGCGCCGTTCGAGCGCGATTTTGTTGCGCGTGTATAAAAGAAAGAGAGATATAAAATTCTTTATTTAGTTGCATTTTTATAAGTAATCTTTCTATAATCACGTAATGCAGTTATAAAAAAATTATTATCACGTGCATATGTTGTTTAAAAAAAATAGGATATCAGAGAATAAAACATGTATTGTAATCGTAATTGTTTGTAATCATAACACGTCAATCATATATCATATTTTCTCTTAATTTTCTTTGATTTAAATTGATGTACAATTAAATGTTATAATTCGCAAATTTTAGAAATATATCTCAAAAAGTTGGCTGCTACAATTTATTTAATTGAACAGTAGGTATTATAACTTATATACGGATAGTCAGGAGATAAAATATATAATTTATATACAGTCAAACACCTCGATAACTCGAATCTCTATAACTCGAAAACCTCTATAAGACAAAAATTTTATTCACTTTCTTGCGCTCCGCGGAAAGAAAAGAAATGCTTCGATAAGTCGAAACCTCTACAACTCAAAGATTTTAGCTCTTCCCTTGAGATTCAAGTTATCGAAGTTTGACTCTCTGTAGTAGCTATATATTAACATCACAATGTAAATTTATTTAATGTATCTAAATATCTGCTTCTTATAATTAGTCTATTATCATCGTAAATTCTCATCGCGTAATTGTATAATAATTTTTTTTGTAACGCATTATATTATACAATATAGTAGCATTTGTATTGTGTAATATTTATCTAACATCGTAAATTTAAAATTGACAGACGTTAGACACGTTGGCATATTTAATTATGTAAGTCCTTTTCGTTTAATTCCTTGTCGAAGATAAAGACTCCGAGACCTTCCCCAACTCTCTCCAAATTTGTTACGTGATCGGCGATTTCTTTTATGGCGTCTACTTGCTCCTGCAGGAATTCGGTCTCCAAAAAATCCATCAAGTTTGCGTCGTTGTGCGTTGTCGCGATATCATGCAACTCGAGTAGTTTCTGCGTAAAAACGTGAAAATTAAGCGTATATAAATTCGCAATGTTTTTATATTTAATCGAATTAAATAGATAAAGTAACATACAACGTGCTGATGTCTTTGTCTCAAAAAACTTTATATTCTCTTCTTTTTAAATACAAATTATTTTTCCGTATTTTTATATAAGATTAATTAATTAAATTATGCGAAATTTAAAATACGTAAACAATTTTCATTTAATAATCGAAAAAAAAAGAAAAAAAAATAACGCGTGGAGGAGCTGGGATTTGAACCCAGGACTTTCCGCATGCGAAGCGGACACTCTACCACTGAGTTACACCCCCATTTGGAATATCTCGCTTTAAAGTTGCACTAGACGTATCCAGATGTACGTGAATTAGCAAAAGAGCTTTACTTGTGATAATTAAATTAGCGAGTATCGCAAAACTCTTGAACAAAAATTCCGTGAGTAAAACATAAGAACACAAATTTACATCTTTGTGATCTTCATTGTCAGTATTTTTTAATAATTACATATTTTTATATAATAATTATATTTTAATAAGTCTTTTATATTATAAAAAAAATTCAATAGTATAAGTATTTTATGTGAATACTTCTGTATCAAAAACTGAATGTAAAAAAAATTTTTTTTTAATGACTTCAGAGATCGATCTTTAATTACGTACAGATAATAAATTATTCGAAATGAATAAACAAGCGCTTTCAACAATGTGACTTGCGTTCGGACAGTTCACTTTCGCACTAAAAAATTTAATCCATCCTTGCTCTTTATGAGCAATGAAGATAAATCGACGCTTTTACGACGCACGAAAATGAGCTATTTGCGCCCGCGAACACAGTTTCTTAATCCACTGTATATTGTTTAAATATCTATTATTAAAAAATGTAAACATTATGAAATTATTATAAATAAAGACACAATAGATACAATTTCTTCTCTCTTTTTTTTGTAACAAAACGCTATTGTCGGAGAAATCGATCTTTGTGAGCGTAACGTACTTGATTTACGTTCCTCTCCAGTTTTAATGCCTCGGTCATTGCTTCTTTCGCACTGTTCCAGATTGATTTCGGTGGCGCTTGAATGTCCATAAACTCCAGATTACCGCCTCGTTTGTTTTGATAAATCAGAAGTTTGTCCGCGTGCACGCGTTCCTCTTCGGACGCTTTCTTAAAATACTCATACAAACCCGATAACGCTACGTCGCTTCTGTCGAAGTAATACGCCTGCAATCAATTGCGTAAAATTGTCGTGACGACAATATCAGGTCGCAATTGTTCATTCATTTATTTGTAATTTAACTTGATTCGACATTTGTTTATACGATAACTTGCTGCGATATAGATTTTGTTTACTATATATACAATAGTCGTTAAAAACTAATTGTAATAATAGATGTGTGGGCGTGTCATTAAAAATAAACATAATAATAATTAAAAAAAAAATTATCTATAGATTATAAAATATTGTTACCAGGAACAGTACGTCAAGGGACACACACGTGTGTGTGTGACGCACATGAATGACGCAACTATATATATCGAATTGCACGGTACATATATACAGCCGGACGAGGGTGAGTGCATGAGGTATGCAACGGGGTGTTTCGATCGCAAATAAAAGCGACAAGTTAAGAGGATCTGATCAATACTTACCATAGACAGGTAGACGTAACTGGCGTATAATTCCAAGTTGATTTGCTTGTTGATCGCGTTTTCGCAATCCGCGTGAAAATTTTGCCGCACCAAACTCATGATTTCGGACGAATGTATCCGCGTCGGCTGGGAGAATGAAAGAACAAAGAATGTTTCAGTAAATTCTTAATTTCGCAGAGTATTCGCGAATCGACTCGTCAAAACGCACGACTTGATCAGTAGTTGCGATGTCTCTTCGCGTTTTAAGGATAACGTCGTCCACATCTGACGCGCTTCGTGGCTTGCTCCAAAATGACGTGGTGGAGGATGTACCTGTATATGACAACAATGCGAGCTACATTGCATGCTCGCGCAGCTTCTACATAGTTTTCCGCGCAAGTTCGGTGCAGGTGTTTCTCTTGTTTATTCAACGGTACAACCAATGGATTTTATGCATGTATAAACTTTGAATAGGAGATACTATTTCTACGCATATTTGTATTTTTCTGTAAGAAACAAAATCACAAATCTTTTCACATCATATCGTTACCGAGTTCACACAGCGGGAATAAAATTCAACCACTTTTACAAAATTGTCCTTTTTGTTGTTGCAATTTACATTTTGACTTTTGATGATATGAATTCTTACGCGTCATTCAAACATATCATGATCGTTTCAAATTTATAAGTTTAATATTTTACGATATAAATTAAGATAAAAGTCAGAAATAAAAAAAAAAGATTTCTCAAAAATTTCCGAAAGAGCGAATTATATTTTCTTGCATATTTTTAGCAAAGAAGTTTTAACCAATATTTAAAAAACATACATAACTTTTTTAAACATGTTCACATGCAGTTTATAATATTATATTAAAAGAAAACTATATTAGAAATGGAAAAAGGAAATAACATTTACCATTATTCTGTGCAGTTTCAATTTATTAAAATCCAAATTGCCAAAACATATTTGCGATGACAACTGCTAGTGTGATGACATACGAAATGACGTACACATATTGTCTTTTATTTTTTTTTTTTTCTGAAAAAAAAAAGAACAAAGCTGTAACTACAATAAGAGGAATATATGTACATTCCTCTTATCATAGTTACTTTTTTTTTCTTTTTTCGTACGTCCGTACATATAAAATAAAAATTTGTTGATCCGTGAATATAAGATAAATTTGTAGATATAAACAATCCGTATAAATCATCTTTTTTCACGTTCTTAATAAATATCGTGTCTCATACAATCTACAATTCGCTGCACAGAGTTTGAAATACGATTTAGGATATAAAAATGTATCCTTGAGCGAGAAAAATATATAATCGCAAGATCTCGAATCAAAACAAAAATGTAAATACTATGACCAGCTGTTGCGTACTATTGTTTAGCTGTTGTCAGTTTTTTTTATTATATTTTATTATATCTTAAACTATAGAGGTTGCATTCCGATATTCACTGCCTACTAAAGATCTATAAAAACCATCAATAAAAACATGTACTATAAATTTCTAATATTGGCAGTGAATATCGGAACGCAGTCAGTCAGAGAAGGTACGAAAATGGATGCGTAAACATTTACACAACAAACTGGCACAGTTATATACATTTATACATACAAAATTCATTATTTATGTAATGAAATTTAAAGTTAGGTTGCTTTCTTATCCTTTGATGGTCTGAAGACGCCACCAACAATAGCGTGATCTCTCTCGTACGGCTCGAGAGTAATTTGTTCTACGGGTACCAGATTTTCTTCTAACAGTTTTTTTCTTTCTAGAGCAAATACTGCTTCCGGTTGTGCGGTCGAATCTACGCAACTTGCCTGAAATCGATTAAGAGTTCTTGTAAATTTTCACATGTCGCATGACAAACCGACAAATATAAGCAAACCAACTGCGCATATCTTACCTTGATAGATATAAGAAAGTGCCCGCCGTTTTTGAGATAATACTGCGCGTTGAATGCAACGATACGAGCCTGATCCGGCTGTGCGACATCCGCGAAGATGGTGTCTACCATTCCTACAAGCATACGGTACTTGAAAGGATGTCGCGCGTCTTCAACTATAGGAATGATATTGTGTCTTTTTTTAGCAACGTCGATTAGATCTCTTCCTGTTCTCTGTGAAAACTCCACTGCGTAAACGATTCCTCCCTGAATATACAAAACATTCGACATATTATTTCTATATATACGTATTGCTTTAATATTGATTTATACATAATGATTTTGTATACACAGTTTTCCTTCCAAAGAAAAACAAACTGATTCTTGCTTATTAAAGATAAATTTAGTTTTCTCAACAGCAGAATTTTTCGTGACTTAAATCATCAATAGCAAGCTTTTTTCACGACTTAAGAGAGTACTGGATGTTGTGCAGTAAATAAAATTAAAAAATAAAGAAATTTAGGTTATAAAAACGTCGGTTTACAGCTCTCTATAGTCGGTATCCAGTACCCTCTCAAGTTCTCTTTTATTCTTCCATTCTCTTCAACAAAAATTGTGCTTAACATGCGTATATAAGATTATGTTCGTTCTACGTATGTACGATCAACAAGAGTGTGGAATGACACCACAAAAAAAGAACTTAAGTGATTAGAGTCTATGAGCTTAAGCCAAGAGATACTCTACCATAATGTATGTGTGTGCGTACACTTATTCTACTCTTCTAGCAAAGAAGGTCTTACTCACCGGACCGACTATATCTGCGACATGAGACACACTAGTGCCTGATGCTGCGCCTAAGTATAGCACTTTACTTCCAGGAGATATATGAATCTTCTCGATCCCCCCGAGAATCGCGGCAGCTAACTTGGATCTGAATGGATTCCACACCCTGTACTCGAGCTGTTCTTCGGGATTTGTATTATCCTATTTCAAACGCACATGATCGTACTATTAGTTAAAACAAATATAATAAAAATAGCAGAATTGTCAATCGATAAGACATAACTTACTTCACATTTGATTCTCTTCTCTCCGTACACAGATATTCCGGGTGCTATACTCATAGTTACTAGTACATCTTCCTTTCCACGAGCAATAAATACTCCTTCATGTCGATGGGGCTCAATAAATACATTCTTTCCTCCTTTGAATCCACCTCCTCCTCTTCCTCCACGGCTGCCACCTCTTGGGCCACCTCTTCCACCACCTCTTGGGCCACCTCTTGGGCCACCTCTTCCACCACCTCTTCCACCACCAAACTGTGGTTTTTCTACACGACCTCCCCCGCGACCAATGCCACGGCCACCTCCACCTACACCACGACCTACTCCTCTACCTCCTCCTCGTGGTCCTCCAAACCCTAATTTTATATTTCAAAAGATTATATTAAAGCATGTAAATAACAAAAATTTCAGCACAGTGGAACCTCATTTATCCGAAACGACTTAAGACCCAATCTCTATTATACGAATCGATAGTCCGTATAATAAAGATTGGGCCTCAGTTATCCGAATTATCTTGTTCCCCGATCGGTTCGGATAAACAAGGTTTCACTGTACAATGTTTATATCAAACTAACTTATATATACAATAAATATACAATCAATAAAAAATAAATATACACAATATTATTAAGAATATAGTAAAAGATATAATTATATAATAAACATATATACAATTTAGAAAAATAATTTTCAAAATTGAGTTTACTTGATTTTTCTCTCCGTTCTATATTAAATAAACACATCAAAAAGTTACGATAAAAATATATAAATCGTACGGATCGTACAATTTATTCAAAACTTTCCAATTACGTAGCGGCGTTATACGAAAATGTTCGGACTTAGATTATACGAAAATGTTCGGACTTAGGTTAAAGTCACCATGGTGGCTAAGCCGCATGCCGCGTGGTCAAACACTGTTTTCTCCACGTGATAAAAAACACACGTTCTTATTTTGGCAAATACCGCGAAAAATTAGCTACAAATCTAAATGAGACAAACAAAAAAACCAGTATCTCGCGAATTCGAGCGGTTTAACTTCCAAAACTTTAACTTTTTCAAAATACATTTCTCTTTCTTGCTGAGATCGAGAACTAATCTTGATCCGAGCGTGTACGTTGTTATCAATAATTATAAAATAAAAGACATTTTATTCATTACCTGGTCTACCCATGACGCGTTAATGTACGTGAAGTAGCGCGAAAAAAATTAGAGATCACAAATTCAGATTAAAACAAAAAATATAATTTGCCCAGTGAACGACAATCCCAAGAGCCGCGTAAATTGTAAGTGAACCGTAAAGCCGGTGCGACCCAGGGATGCCAGATTCCGGCCGCTTGGTAGCATGCAGTAGCATGGAGGGGATGCGCACACAGCTTCATGTCACGGCTCGAAGCTGTGTGCGCATCCCCTCCATGCTACCGCATGCTACCAAGCGGCCGGAATCTGGCATCCCTGGTGCGACCTATATCGCAAATCCTTCTTTTTTCTTTTCCGCGCAGTAACGTTGCGCAGTGAATGTAGCATCTCTACCGGAGTGCGTTCACGCATATGCGCGCATTTATCTACATAGTACACGTCACGTATAGTATAGACAAATGCGCGCATATGCGTAAAACGGAACGCAGCTCCGGATATTATCCCAGCAGACCAAGCTGATTTGCAGCAGCTGATTTGCAGCAATTGAATGTGATTGGCTCTTACTTTTATGGCTAGTCTACAATGGGAGTAGGCAGTATAGAGTAAGATTCTTGGAGTTATTTCATTTTTGTCTATACAAGTAATCATTTCGCGTTTTTTGACACGCGTCCTTTATTGGCTAACAGTAAGGCAGTAGGCAGTGCGAAATGGGAATTGCCAATTTCGTTATTCCCGTCGTTTCTTCACCGAAAAATAGTTTCCTCTCTACTCCTACAACCTTACTACCTTCATTGTAAACTAGCCATTATAGGCCTGGTCGCGCTCTCTGTATATACATACATATAAGCAGAGAGAAGTCTGATATAAGGTTTTGGATATCAAATATACAAGATTTCAAAAAAAAAAAAAAAAATGTCAACCGTTTAAAGATTAGCGGAAAGTTATTTGTACGGAAAAATCTTGTGTATATATAATTAATATATATTATAATTACATAATTTTAATACATATGTGAATGTTGGAATAATACATAAAAATGCAGTTATTTCTGATACTTCCAACATCGAATTATTTGAAGTTTCTGCATCGAAGAAGTCAAATAAAAATTGTCTCCGAGTGTTAAAATACAAAAATCACAAACGAAACTTTCTTTTTAAATGTTTTCCTGAGTTACATCATCTTTTAAATTCTTTCACTAACGCTTCAACCACCAATCCACTCTCCTGTCTCTTCGATCACCCCGCCTCTTTGGTAGCTACACCTTTTGTAAAGCCTGTTCTACAATAAGTCGTATGTCGCTGTCGGATGACGCTAGTCGTTTGTCGACAGTCGGTGATCGGTAGTTATTGCGACAATCGTTCTACAACATTGTCGCAGTCGGATAGGAAAAGAACTTTTTTTCCACTCATCAACTATGAAGAGTCTTTAGAATAGTATGTATGGAGCAACCTTAAATGGTCAGCTGAGCTATATTCGTACAAAAACAAATAAAAACTTTTGTTTATGTCAAGTGAT